CTCAGCTGAAGCGTTGCTTAAATGGTATATGGAACGACAATGTGCCTTACAGGCGAGCTTGTTAAAACCAGCAGCTACCAAGAATCTGTCGATCCGCAAGATAACGCCAATCGCCTCCTTGTTACGTTACAAAACGTCAGGCCGTGCGCAACACGACCACAGTCACGTAATATATTTGTGAGCAAGGACCTGGCAGACTACACACATGTCTTCGTTCGCAACGACACAGTCAGATGACCACTCGAACCACCGTACGACGGGCCTAACAAAGTCCTCAGCCGTACCGACAAGTCCATGACGTTGGCTCTTTAAAAGTCGCACCAATGTTGTTTGTACGGACCGAGGGAAGCCCGCTCATTCGAAAAATTAAGCAATGGCACCAGCCTCACAACTGTCCCTGCAACAAAACCACCAACATCAAAAAGTCCTACGAAAGTTCGTTTCTTCGACGACAAGCCTACCCGCTCGTCTATCCGGGTCCTTGTTAAGGGGGAACTATGTAGCGTCCAGTGAAATAATGCCGTTGAAGAAGACGACAACGTCACACACAAAGAGACGTCACGCGCACACTATGCGAAGCACGATTCGAGAGAGAACGATCAGTGGCACCAGTCACAGCGGCCTCTATACTCACAAAGTCTGGCAGTCCGACGATGAAGCCATAGAATGCCCGGCCGCAGATTTGAAGCGCGAGTATCTGGTAGCACAGAGCATTTCTCGGGGAACCTGGTCTTCAGCGCACAGCTTTTGAAGCGGTGAGGACCCACAGCATGGCTTTCAAACTTGACGAGAAGAGAAGCGGTAGCGCGAGGAACGCGAGGAGACCAGGCAGTCACTTCATCGCTCGGGAGAAGTGCGTTTCGGCGTCTCGCCGCAGCGGGGCGCCCATCACCTGGCTCTCCTCTCATCCGTTGTCTGCCGCTCTCCCTTTTCAATTTCGGCGGCCGCGTCTCGTGGTCGTGGCGATCTGTCAGGTTTTGTCAGTATAGAGGAGGCTATGCAGCAGTTAACGGCACGCATATCTACAAGCCGACACCATCAAAACTAGAGCCACTAAATGAGCTTTGCTTATGACGCATTTCCACTGGCGGTTGAGCTGCGTTTGGGGATGCGGTTCGCGAGGGACCCCGTTCAGACACACCAAAAGGCGGTTGGCGAGAGGTGGTTGGCGGTTTTTCGGCGATCACGCGTGATGTTTTGAGACTTGCGTTTGGCAACCCTGTTTTACAATACAAAAATCCATTTTAATTCACTATCTGAAGCCAAAACTTTGATATTTTGGCACTCTGAAAATTTTTTTCGGGATTATCGCACGCATCACGAGTTCAGGCAGTGAAAAAATAGACATGGATCCGCAAAACCCGCCCGCGATTCCCTCGACTTCGGCCAAAAGCAAAATCCAGGAAGCCGCGCCTCGCTGACTCAGAAGAGGATGCCCCAGACCCTTTCTTGCTTCGAAGTGGGCCCTTCTCGCATGAACAGCTGACGTTGTTTTCGGAATAGGGGACCAGTTTTCCTCCTTCGTTGATTGCTCTTATTATTTTCGGGATTGTGAGCGGCGCTGATGGACCGTGGTGCAGGGTAATGTGTTCGGTCCTAGCCGGTCATGGCGTCGTTGGTGGCGGACTCTCCTCTCGTCACTCGCACGTCAATCGAGTCTACTGTTTGTTTGACATTGAGCTTGAATAAACGCCATATGGATTACCTCTGTACCGTCTGGTACGTACACTTTATTTCTTGAGAAGGTTCTTTTTATTCATTTTAGTAGTATCTTACTTTAGATGTCGAACTAGTGCAAGAACCCTGCCAGCTCTGCGGTAGTTTGTTGGCTACGCTAATAGGCTCATGATGTATCTATTGGCCTTCGTGGTGGTCATGCACGGCGTCGAAAGCTTTCAAAGCTGACATTTCTGTTGATCAGGGGTGGGTTCCAACATTCTGCGGGCAAAGACTAACAAGGCAGCGAACGACGGGCTGTGGCGCCCCGAATAATAGACAAACTGTTACCCGAACCAACTCACTGGAGCGAAGACTGTCAAAGGGGCACTGAATCGAAATTTGGATTTCGCAAAGTAAGGCCGCAGAAGCATAACAGGACGCTACGAACTCCAAACACAACTCATAGATCGAAATCTCAAACGGATGGCCGTACATGTGGAAAAGAAGGCCGCGATCAAGCGGGTGCTATGACACCATTGTCCCCTGGAAAATTTGAAAATGAGGGCAAGTGGCCTCGCTTCTCTCCTCCTCGCTTCGGTTCACCAGCTCGATGGGACGTAGCGAAGAGGAGAGGGAAGGAGGATCGGTGATGTTACTTATGGCGCATTCACACTGGAAGCGGATCCGCGTTCGCGAAGCGGTTGCGGATGCGGTTCGCGAACGACCCCGTTCAGACACACCGAGAGGCGGTTGGCGGTTTCACGGCGATCACGCGTGATCTTTTGAGACTTGCGTTTGGCAACCTTTTTTTACAATTCAAAATTCACTTTAATCGACGATCCAAAGCCAAAACTTTGCCATTTTGCACTCTGAAGATTTCTCTACGGGATGTTCGCACGCATCGCGAGTTCAGGCAGCGAAAAAAGAAACATGGACCCGCCAAACTCACCTGTGGTTTTCTCGACTTCGCCCACACGTAAAGCCCAGCTAGGCGTGCATTGCTAACTCAGAACAGGATGCCCCCGACATTTTCTTCGAAGTGGACCCTTCTCGCATGTTTTCGAGCGAACGAGGAGGGAAAGTGGCCCTCTATCTCGAAAACCTTGTTTTCGAGATAGAGGGCCACTTTTCCCTCCTCGTTCGCTCTTATCATTTTCGAAGTTGTGAGTGGTGGGGTGGACCGTGGTGTGGGGGAATGTGTTCGGTGCTAGCCGGTCGTGGCTTCGTTGGTGGCGGACTCTCCTCTCGTCACTCGCATGCCGATCAAGTCTACTGTCTATTTGAGATTAAGCTCAAAGAAATGCCGTATGGATTACCTCTGCACCGTCTGGTACGTACACTTTATTCCTTGAGTAGGTTCGCTTTATTTATTTTGTTAGTAGTAAACGTTACAGGTCGAGCTAGCGCAGGTACCCTACCCGCTTCGCGGGAGTGCTTTGGCTACGCCATCAGGCTCACGACGTCTCTATCGGCCTTCGTGGTGGTCATGCGCGTTGTCGAAATCTTTCAATAGATCACGTGACTGTCTTAATGGGTACAGAAGCTGACATTTCAGTCGATCAGGAGTGGGATTCGACGTTCTACGGGCAGAAATTAACAAGGCAGCGAGCTTCGGGCTGCGGCACCCGGAATAATAGACAAACTCTTACCCAAACCAAATCACCGGTGCGAAGACCGTTAAATTTGCGAGTCAATTGCTTTCGCGGCGTATTCAAGTGGTGGACGTGAACATCACGTTTTTCAGTTTATTGGTCTGCTGTAACGCTAGGACTACAGCGCCATGGACGCTTCACCAGCGACAGGTGCCATCTTGTTTCAGAAGTCACTGACGTCACATCAGCGTCGCGTTGTGATTGGTTGCCGCTTTGCGGTTCGTGAAAGCGGTTGGGAGAAATCGGTCCCGAAGCGGTTGGCAAAAACGCGCTCCAACCGCTCGATCCTAGCCGCTTTGCGGTTGAGAACGCGCGGATCCGCTTCGCGTTTGGGCGTCCGCTTCCAGGGTGAACGCGCCTCTACAGCCTCGTTGGCGGTTTTCAATGGCGCACTTCTTTTCCAAACAATACGGCGATCCGTTAGAGATGTCACTGCATGAGTGATGTCTTTGGGTTTTGGAGTTTCCCACCTATCCGCTCAGCGTTAATTTGTGAGCTCGAAAATTCGGTTCAGTATCCTTTTAAGATTATACGAGTCAATTCTTTTCGCGGCGGATTCAAATGATGGACGTGAACATCACGTTTTTTCGTTGATATGTTTGCTGTAACGCTAGGACTACAGTGCCTTGGACGCCTCACCAGCGACAGATGCCGTCTTGTTTCGAAAGCCATCGACGTCACGTCAGTGTCGCGTTGCGATTGGTTGGCGCTTCGCGGATTGCGGAAGTGGTTGGGGCAAATCGGTCCCGAAGCGGTCGGCAAAAACGCGCTCCAATCGCTCGGTCTCAGCCGCTTTGCGGTTGAGAACGCGCGGATCCGCTTCGCGCTGGCGGATCCGCTTCCAGGGTGAACGCGCTATTAAATTATTGACATCCTGTTCCCCGATATTGTTGTGGGCGCCGCCATATTGGTGCTTGTGCAGAGCAGACGCAACTGCCGATCGTCATGATTCAAAAGTGCGACTTCCTTAGCATTAGATTCAGTGATAGGAAGTTCATGTAACATTGTTTTGCTCTATCGCGAACAGTTGAAACGTTTGCGGACGACGGAAAAGCGTTTCTTGTGATTTCAGATAAAGCTTCAGATATCTGGCAATCATGACATTAAGCTCCAAGATGGGAAAGTGTCTTTACTCTGAAGCGTAGCTTATTTAGTGATAGTAACCGCAACTACGCGAACATTCTGGGATGGCAAGATGGCAAGGAAGCTGTAAATATAGTAAACAAATTATGGAGGGCTATACTTCATTTCAGCTTTGGTTTGAGCGCGGCCGATGTTATGAGCCGAAGGGCCAATCAAACAGCGAAACAGGCACAACGTCATGGCGTGCTCTCTGCAGTTGATAGAACCAGCGGATATTCGCCGTGTCTCTGTGCGTGCTGCTCCGCCGGCTAGTCCTGTCAGGCACAGAGAGCACGCCATGACACTGCGCTTTTTGCGCTGCTTGATTGGCCCTTTGGCTCATAACATCGGCCACGCTCGGACCGAAGCTGAAACGAAGTATAGCCCCTTCAATCAAATTAAAATTCAGTGATCAGTTGAGCTAAACGACAATTTTTTAAGAAAGCGATTCATGTGGTCAGCATCGGTGAGGTTACCATCGTGGTCAAGCCTCCATACAGTGACTATAGAAACTAAGCAGTCTTAAGGTACCCAGAGCAGGAAATATCAGATTCGCAATGTACTCACCACTCCACTTTTTGGTTCCTTTCATCTCTGCAGTAGACGTCATCGCCAGCACGTACGTCACTCGCCAATAAACATAGTGCTACCAGAAGCAAGTTCTGCATTGCGGCAACCACACGGAGGGTACGCGCGTGGACGCGATTTATACACGCTTTGCAGCAGCTGTGCATAGAAACGCCGATATAACCGACCTTCAATTTTTGTTTGGTTTTCTCATGTTTAGTTTAATTCATCATGACCCCAGCCGAGCAGGTTATTGCCATTTTAGATTCTACTGCATGCTTCTCCACATTATTGGCCTTTGTGGAGACTCGTCAACGCCCGCTTCCGTGGCTCGGCACATGGGTAAGGAAAGGTCAGCAATGGCGGCAATCTGGCCCGTGTGCAAAGCGCCTATAAAGAATCGTGCCTTGTGTGGAAATTGACTTCCTACGTCAAAAGGAACGATGTTACTTTTAACCTTTTAAACTGCACGTGAGAAAATTCGGAATGTTCGTGGCTAATTTTGCTTATGAGTAACGCCTTTGACATTTTGTTGCGGGTCTTGTAGCAAGCAAAATGTTGGTTTAATGAACCAACTTACAGGTTTAAAGCCGATACAAACAGATGCTTAGATGAGTTCCAGGTTCAATGGAAGTTAAAGTGAGATGAACTCAACGCCCGGCCGCGATTGGCCCGCGCACCGCTTGACGTGATCGCAGATGAGATTGTGACGTTGGCAGTGGAAAGTTTTCACCGCTGGAGCGTAACGTTCCAGTTTCGCGAGATTGTGGTATTGGGCAGGAGATCGAACTATACCTGGTTGTAACCATCGCTGCAATGGTTACTGGAAAATCGCAATAGACATGGAATGTTTTTAATAACCTGACAACCTCAATAATAATAATAATAATAATAATAATAATAATAATAATAATAATAATAAACCTTTATTCAATCATTTGAAGTTGAGACAACATACAGAGACGGGTCTGTCGAAGCCAATAGGAGGCTTGAAGGACAGGACCCGGCAGTCAATAATAATAATAATAATAATAATAATAATAATAATAATACTCGACTTACCTCGACGGCTTACGATTTGTTTCTCATACTGGCCTGCACTGAGCCGGTAATGCACTTCAGGTCCTCGTCGTAAATGATCTGCATGACGTAGTTTGATTTTACGGCATTTCCACCCCTCTGAACTAAGCTGGGTTCTTCACAGAAAAAAACGCACATTGCGGAGGCCTCTACGGCCACAGCAATGCACTTGTTTTTGTCGCTTGTTTACCAACGCAATTCGGTGAAGATGCCCGCTGCAACAGAGGCCAGCAAATCTATAGTGAAGAAACAGTTAGGGCGCAGGCGAGCTGGTGTAAGTTTACCATTTTTTAGACCGCCTGAGACTGGGCTGGGTGGAAGGAACACGACGACGTCGTCGTGTTCCTTCCACCCAATCGCAGGTGGTCTACAAAAAAGGTAAATCTATCGTGTCGTCTGCTACCAAAGCAAAGCGGAGTGTAATAGTTTAGAAATGGCTTTCATTATTGCAGTACGACACTGAGGCGACAAGAACATCTTCATAATTAGATATAAAGAAGTTAGGTTGCTTACAAAAAATTATTTACTTACTTGTAATCAAAAATCTAGCCTCATGTGGAGTCACCATGCTTTAGTCCATAGCAACGTCCCTAGTAACGGTTTGTTTGGACCCAGACGCCATGTTGTGACGTCATCGCTTACGCGGTCAATTATGTTGCTTTATTTACGGTTTAGTAATCGTTTCCAGTCTGATTTATACTTTTAATGGTTATTCAAGCGGAAATTAAACCAGTATTCCTAAAATCACGAACAAAAATGTGACCGAGGGCACGTCTCTCGTTTCGACCAATCGCTGACGCGTCTCTTGTGACGTCGCGCTTCTTGGCCCCGCAACTCCGCAACGGTCAAGTGAGCTCCGCTTCTCCTGGCTTCTCCCGCAACTCTCGGGGCGCCGCCCCAATCGATCCCGGTACGATTATTACCGCGACTGTTTAAATGATTGGCGCGGCACATAAGCGCCGGTTTCGGCTGAAATTCGAGCAACGTGGCCCGCGACATGCCTGGAACCCAGTTCAATTGCCAAATAAATGTCCAATATTGCCTTCATTGTCTCTTTAAGAAGTGTTGCTTTCTCTTTTGAACTCCTCCAATGTAGCTTGCTGCCCATAGTACAATTTAAATGATCAATAAATATAACAGAGTGGAAGTACTGTATTTCATTTTTATGTGGGAACGTTGAAAACAGTCAAAAATATTTCCAAGTTTGTGAAGACGCGCAATTCGCAAGTCCGTTTCGAGCCCTTAAAGCACGTTTTTGTACGATATTGATGCTTAAATATAGAACATGCAAACAAAATGCACACTTTCTCGACTTGTTTTTCGAGTATACAACTATCATATCTACACTGGTTAAGTTTGCAGTGCCATACTACTCACATAATTGGTGAGGCCCGATATGCCAAATACTCATGGCCACATTTTTGGAAAAAGACAGTGAAGTCAAACTTTGCAATATTTTTGAGGGCAAGTAGGATATAAATGAGGCAAATATACAATAGTGTAGCACCTCACTCTGTTGAATATCCCTTCAGTTAATCACAATGCTTTGAAAAACCTGCCGTTAATTTAATTTGTCAAGGGAAACATATGTTCATCTCTCCCTTGACAAATCACTTGTAGCTTGTAAATGAAAACCTAAAGTAATAGCTGATAACTTTAGTAATTAGGCGAGCTGGTTTAGGTTGCACATTGTTAAAACCGGAGACGACAGAAAAAAGGGGACAGGACACGCGTCTCAACTGAGACGCGTGTCCTGTCCCCCTTATTCCCATCGTCTTCTGTTTTAATGATGAAAACGTACTCACATTGCTATTGCTTAAGCACATTAAGTGCTAATGGTACATCTCTTGTGTTTGTATTAATTCCAGGAAGTCCCCAGTCTCTGGAATCTGCAAACAAGCTCCTGATGTCCATCCGGCCACCTCACTGCATCACTCGCCTGCCACGCTCTCTCTGTGAGCGGAGCTATTGGAAAGCCAATGAGTGGCGGAACTGGCTGCTCTACTACAGTGTGCCTTGTTTGGAGAACCTGCTACCTCACCGCTACTGGAAGCATTGGTGCCTGCTTGCGGAGGCGATATGGATACTGCTGTCGACAAGGATATCGCAAAAAATGATCAGCCATGCCGGTAGGACAGTTTTTCCCCGTACCAAGTAATATTTGTTCTCTTGTAGACCTTGCTCTGGTTCAGCACTAATGTTTGCAAATACAGTCATCTGACCGGACAGCCTGAAAGTATGTAACGCGTGGCGACCGAAGCAGCGTAATTTCCAGCTTTTTCGAATCGGTGGTGTCACGCACGTTGCTCACTTTTCGCATCTTAGAAAGTGCATAGCAACGCGGCGCTGCTTTCTCCTTGTGTTTCAAGGTTAAGGGGTATACTTTATTAACCATGCCATTTTTACAATCCGGGAGTGTTACTCTGTTACCATGCACTCCTATGCTTCAAGTGAAGCGTTACCACTTCATTAAAAAATACTTCTTTTAGTTCGAACTCCACATTATTAAACAAAGCTTTGGTCCCCCACGAGTTCGAATTAACGAGCTGAAACTGTAATTGGCTGAGGGAGTGGTGTGAATCTGTTGGAGGGGCGTACGTCACTGTACTTTTTACTTGTCACCAACTATAGTTAGGTATGTTTCAGAAGACTGAATATGTGCTTGCCATTTAAGTTCAGGGTGGTAGCACCCTGGCCAGTACAGCCAAAGTGGTCTTTAAAGGGGAACTCCGCCGACATTTTGAGCTACCTAATCCAAAGGCATAATCTGAATGCGGATGGCTTCCTGATTCCGAAATGCTATGTCGTTCTCCCAGATTCACTCTAGTTAATTAAAAAGAGTGATCTTTTGTTTGCTGCCGAAACCGAAACATCGTTCTCCCTAGTTTTTCCCCAGTTTTCCCCGCCGCCCAAGCGTGACGTCACTTGTGTGCAGCGACGCGCGCGGCCAGCAAACGGGTACGCTCGCGCCCGCCTTTCTCGCGTCTAACAGCAAAAGAACCTGGCCGCTCGTGCTATTTGAAGCTGATAATTATCTATATTTGCACAAAGTATGGCCTTGGCCTACGTGCCTAACTATAAGAAAGTAAAAAAAAAAACAAAAAAAAAACGGAAGCAATTGGAATTTTCGTAAAACCGTTTTTGCAGCTCGCTACCTCAAGCCGCGGCTCGCTAGTTTCGTAATATCGCCAGCAAACCCGTTCTCCTTTTATTAGAAGATGGCTGGCGAAGAAAGGTTAAAGAGTCACACAATACATTTTTTGACGAATTGCCAAAGCTCCGCGGAAAATGCTCGGAATGTGGGCACAGATGCCCCACACGCTTGTATGACCTGAAGGAACTTGCCATTCGTTTAGATCTCTTCTTGAAAAGTTGCTGTTGCAGGGGTCAGAACGTGTAACTACTCATGTGGCATGAATATGCTCCTTGGTGCTTAAGTAGTTTAGCAAAATATCTGTAGACCATTTTTGAAACGCGCTTCTGGTCGATGCCATTTTCAGCGTTCGTGCGTGTGACGCGCACATTGCTTGCCTTCCAAAGCGGTGAACATGTTCGTGCTGGGCTGGCACCTAAGACATGTAGACTGTGGTTCTCGTAAACAATGAAATGTATAGAATAGAATGAACTGCATTCTTGTAGATCAGATGGCAGGTTACTGGTCATGAAGAACGTGTTAAAATGACGATTAAAAGAACTTCGCAACCACCAAGCCAAACATCAAGGTGCAATGGAATTCATTCATTCATTCATTTGTTTATTTTCTGTGCTCATGAACAGCTTGACGCCTTGGTAATGAGGCCCAACAAAATGTTCACAGGTTAGTTAGAACAATCTTGAAAGCTACGAAATTTGGGTTAAAAACATCAATATCTGCTCCCCTGAGGGTATTGTAGAAGTGTTGAATACGGGTCATGGGACTGGTTTGGAATGCGTATAAAATACACAAATACACTGTTAATCCCAAAATAAAGAATATTTGCTTGAAGATACAATAGTGCGTGAGGTACAGAAAGACATCATA